GAAGCTTTGGAGAAAATGAAAACAAAAAGGAAACTTATCATCAAGAAAAAAAAACAGTTCAGGTTTCTAGGGTACACAACGAGGAAGGAAGGCTTGGAAAATCTGATACTCACAGGACAGATTGAGGGCAAAAGGGAACAGAGGAAAACAACTCATAACATAATGAGCTTGAGTAAATTGATGGCGAAACAGGGCTTAGGAGAAATAACAGAAAGTTTATTAAGAGCTACAAGGGACAGGAAGTTGTGGAGAACCATGATCGCCTACGTCTTGAGGGATCAGAGCACATAAAGAATTACTATAACCTGTTTTGTTTAGTTTAATTATTAACGTATATAAGTATAGATAGAAAAAAAAATGTTGTTAAGATAGAGACGGTCACAAAGCAATGCCCGGGGCCCCAATCAGGCTTGTACACACTCCTATCCATCGAGGGGGTTGGAGGGAGTTCACACCGGCCTTATATATAAAAGTGAAAAAGAACATTTTTTAATACCGACGCGTTTCGTCCTTTAATAGACTTTATCAAGGTAAATGTAAGGATCTTATTTTGCAACAAGTATTTATACACAGAATTAAAAATGTCGTTAGTTTTTCAAAATTTTTAAATTTAAAAACGCTCATAAATATATTTACGCCAAACTGAAAGTCATGGCAAACTATGGTGGACATTAAGTGATATAATTTAATGCCTAATCAATTTGACCAATTTTGCTTCTACTGAATCACCAACGATGCATCATGTCCAATACGCGCTTCAAATTCCCCTGTAGACTAGTTGCCATCCAAGGCTATAGAACCCAGTCTGTCCTGCTATTTTATGTGATCATGCGATACACGCTTAGTCGATCATGTATCTTTCGATACATGATTGACGATGCAGATTTTTTCCTGCAATAGGTTGCCATTTCTTTCTGCTGTAGACCAGTTGCCATCCAAGGCTATAGAACACGGTTAGTGCTGCTATTTTATGCGTCATACGATACACGCTTAGGCGATCATGTATCTTTCGATACATAACTGACGATGCAATTTTTTTCCGGCAGTAGGTTGCCATTTCTTTCTGCTATAGACCAGTTGCCATCCAAGGTTATAGAACCCGGTCTGTTCTGCTATTTTATGTGTCATGCGATACACGCTTAGGCGATCATGTATCTTTCGATACATGACTGACGATGCAGATTTTTTCCTGCAGTAGTTTGCTATTTCTTTCTGCTGTAGACCAGTTGCCATATGAGGCTATAGAACCCGGTCTATCCTGCTATTTATCCATAGCTGTGGAAGAAGAAGAGGTATTAGCATGTAAATGAATGTAATGGGTTCGACTGGAATTCGAACTCGTCTCTCCGATTCCTCAGTCCGAGCCGCTATCCATTACTGCCTCCTCTAAAACGGCTTATTGAACGAAAAGGAACATTTTGTTGTTCCGTCCCATGAACTCTTCCATTTCAATGAACCTCATGCCATCATGAGATACAAGTACATCACTCAGATAGAGAAGATGTGCTCGTCTGAATGCCACCTAAAGATGCTCGGAGACTGAAAATACAGCGTGTCCAGTAATGATGGGGTACATTTTAAATGCAATTCCAAAGACACATTCCAAAAGCTGGTCAGAGTATTACGAGACAGGAGTATATCTTTGGTAACAAAGAAAAAAAAATACTGTACTGTTATATGACATCTGTCCTCCTTTACGGCAACGAATATTGGACGGTCTCCTCAAAGATGGCGAAGAGACTCGAGGCAACAGAGGTATGGCTCTATAGAAGGATACCATGGACCGAACATGTGAGCAACGATGAGGTTTTGGAGAGGATACAAACAAGGTGGAAGCTTATACTTAACATCAGGAAGAGGCAGCTGAAATTTCTGGGACACGTAATAAGAAAGGAGAGCTTGGCGAATCTGATACTCACAGGGCGGATAGAGGAAAAAAGAGACCAGGGAAAGCAACGCATGACATACCTAGTGGGCTTAATCAAGTGGATGGCGGAACAGGGTTTGGGAGAGGTGTCAAGGGGACAAGACATATTGAGAATTATAAGGGATAGGAAGAAGTGAAGAGCCATGATCGCCTACGTCTTAAAGAAATCCCGCACATAAAAGAAAGATTTTGGATTATAAAAATGAAATCGTCGTTGGTGGAATTCAATGATGAGTATTGAGGTGCTCATAGACATTTTCTTTCTGCGTGAAATGAGTTCTATGTTGGATCTGAAGAGACGCTCGCAGCCGCCGCATGGTAGGGTAGGAGAGTTCAGGGAATGGGGAGTTCTGGCTTTCCTTTGGTCTCTTTTCCTCTAGTCTATTTGTTATTTGGTGTTTTCGAAGTCCTTCCTTTTTTTTTTTTTTTTTGTGGACTGCTCTTCTCCAATTGGTTCTTTCTGCGGCTTCCGTCTCCCAATTGACCGGATCGATTACTGTCCCAAGCAAGGTGTTTTTGAGCTGACATCTGAATCGACCATGTGAGGCTCCACGTGGTCTCTTGTCCGATATGAGCTCTGAGAAATGGATTTATTTGCGGGGGGGATTTCTGGCATTCGGTCAAGTTGTCCGACTAATCGAAGTCGGTGGCGAGTCATGATGGTTTCTGGGGTCTCCATCTTATAAAAAAAATGACATAGACTATCAAATATATACGGTGTAACAGCAAAATTGTCTAAATCGTGTAACAGCATAATTGTCCATCCCACAAAATGCTTAATATCTAAAAAAAAAAAACACTAAATGAGTTTCTTTTTCTAGGTTTTCAGATAAGATCTTCGCAGCATTTGTCATAAGAATCACTGAAAAACCCTTTGAGTTATTCAGCTAAAAAGAAAACAGGTTAAAATCATTTTGTGTCAGCCCCACTATGTCTTACCAATTGAGCAACGGTGAGAGGAAAAAGATCATTCAGGCCTTCAGTAATGGTACCAACACTGATAATCTGGATTCCATCTTCAAATTCCATTCAAGAACCGTCAAGAGAGCGATGAATAAATTTCAAAAAGAGGGAACAGTCGAGAGAAAATCTAGGTCAAGAAGTCACGATAGCCAGAAGGATAATCATTTCAACTTAGAGCGAATTCTTATTATTCAAAGTAGAATCAAATATTGTTATAAAAACCGCGGAGAATTCCAGTAAGATATCTTTAATCATTTCTAAGTTACACCGGTTCAAAGCTTAATCTAAAATTGGACAATTTTGCTGTTACACCCGGTATTTATAATATAACTGATATAAAGGAATTCAACATATTATCTAAAATTTGAATATTACACCCCTGATATGGTTACCACCACGAATAGAAGATGCATGTATACAATTTCTTTTGGAGTCCACGACATGAAATTTAACAGGTTGAGTGTTTATGTGTATTGGTATGTGAAGGTGTGTGTTCAATATGTAAACAAAGAAGATACAAAATACAAAAATTTGAGTTTCTACTCAGGACGTTTGTTCTATTTATAGTGACTGTAGTGCAACAGCGTTTTCAATGTATCTAGGGTGTGTCTGTTTTCCTTCTGGTCCAGACGTTAGGGTATGTAAATATATCGATAGTAATCATGGTCGCGATTAAGTCAGCCTTGCGCAGAGTTGGAACAGCCAAAGGAAAGTTTCTACTTATTTTATCACTGGGAGGATTAAACATGGATATGGAATGTCTATTTTCTTTTCCTTGGTTCCAAGCTTAAGGTAAGTCAGTACAAGCATCGTTACTGTGGTCGGGCTTAAGTCAGCCTTGCGCAGAGTTGGAACAGCCAAAGGAAAGTTTCTACTTATTTTATCACTGGGAGATTTAAACATGGCTATGGGATGTCTGTTTTCTTTTTCTTGGTTCAAGATTAAGGTAAGTCAGTACAAGCATCGTTACTGTGATCGGGCTTAAGTCAGCCTTGTGCTGAGTTGGAACAACCAAAGACAAAGCCTATCTTACTTCATAAGTTGTGGTTTTGGAAGACACGTGCAAACGACACACGTCGTCAGTGGGAAGTGAGTTCAGTCGTCAGTGGACCGGGGAAAAGCAACATTCCCCAGTAGGAAGGTAATTACCACGTGGTCCACGTCTTAAAGCACAGAAGAGAAAGAAAGTGAGGTAGGAAATGTTTGCCTTTTTTACAGGCTTCAGCAAGGCCACCTAACAACGTTTTACGAAAACAAGTGGAGTAATCATATTTCTCGTTCTTTTACTCTTACCATTATGGGAAAATATATTTCTTTTTCTTTTACTTATTATTATTTTTTATTATTATTATTATTATTATTATTATTATTATTATTATTATTATTATATCCCACACAGCTTCTTCCTGCAAACCACTGTTTTGTGGAACCGACGCCCACGCGGATGTTTTCTCAATCAATAAAATCTTAAACTATTCAAGTGTCTAGGATTAACCGTTATCTTCACATATCCGCATAAACTGTGCCTCTTACTCTCTAACTCTCTAGATCGAGTGGCTCTTGGGACTTGTACAGAGTAAAACCCACAGTAAAAAAATCTTTTTCAAGGTAACGCAATTTTATTTTCCATGAATATATATATATATATATATATATATATATATATATATATGGGGGGTACGATTGTGTACGAATTTTTGAATGTGTGTGCGTGTGTGTGTGAATGTGTGTGTGATTTCTCAAACGAAATCACTCCTGAAGGAGTGCTATGCTGACATGTCAAAAATGATATGGTTGTGATCAGGGCTAGATTATGACCTTTTGGGGTCCCTAGACTAATTAAATTATGCTCCCTCACCCCATCAGACGGAGCCACCCTCCAAGTCGCCCCCAGCCGACCTGAATGTTTTTTTACTCATGATATGTTTTAGCAGCATTGGCATCGTTTAAAGGAAACCTGTTGCAAATTCTTTAAATAGAATAGAATTAAAGAATAGCTGTCTTTTGTTTGTCAGCGAAAAATATTATTGAAGAAATCCCAATATTTTGTTATGATAAATCATTGTTTTATAAAAGCTTGAGGACGCCAGATTTACGGCCTATACTAGCCTCATGGATAACACAGATCTGATTGTGAAAGTAAGAAAGAAAGAAAAAATGGCTGATAGATAGATAGATAGATAGATAGATAGATAGATAGATAGATAGATAGATAGATAAAAAGAAATGGCTTGTGATAGATAACTAGATAGATAGATAGAAATGGTTTGAGATAGATATATAATCTGTCTATCTTAACCCATTTCTATCTATCACAAGCCATTTCTTTCTTTTTATCTATCTCAATATAGATAGATCGATAGATAGATAGGAATGGCATGAGATAGATAGATAGATAGATAGATAGATAGATAGATAGATAGATAGAAATAGCTTGAGATAGATAAAAAGAAATGGCATGAGATAGATAGATAGATAGATAGATAGATAGATAGATAGATAGATAGATAGATAGATAGAAAGAAATGGTTCGAGATAGATAGATAGTCTATCTACCTTAAGCCATTTCTATCTATCTATCGCAAGCCATTTCTTTCTTTTTATCTATCTCAATATAGATAAATCAATAGATTGGTAGGAATGACATGAGATAGATAGATAGATAGATAGATAGATAGATATGAAAGTATTAAAAATCTTGAGTTTCAGATATGCTGGAAGGAACGATTATTGCTTGTTTTTCTTTTCTTTTTTAGAAATCTTTATTCCCACCCACCCCTTTTATCCAATATTCTTGAAGCTTTCACCCACCTCTTAATTAAGGCTTCGTGCATTCTCATACAAGGTCGAAAATTTAAACTAACACTTACATTAGAAACTCATGTGTAGATAGACTAAGCATAGACCGAGACAGACATATAATAAACGGATTTCAAAGAGTGTTAAAGTTAAATAGACAAATACACACAAAGTGGCATAGATACCGAATAGATAGATAGATAGATAGATAGATAGATAGATAGATAGATAGATAGATACTGAAGAGATACTGAAGAGATAGATAGATAGATAGATAGATAGATAGAGAGAAGAGACTGAATGAAGAGATAGATAGATAGATAGATAGATAGATAGATAGATAGATAGATAGAAACTGATAGATAGATACTGAAGAGATACATAGATAGATACTGAAGAGACTGATAGATAGATAGATATTGAAGAGATACATACATGGATAGATAGATACTGATAGATAGATACTGAAGAGACTGATAGATAGATACTGAAGAGACTGATAGATATATTTATAAACAGACAAGTATAGATAGGTAGATAGATAGATAGATACTGAAGAGACTGATAGATAGATAGATAGATAGATAGATAGATAGATAGATAGATAGATAGATGAATAGCTAGATAGACAGATAGATGCTATATAAAAAGATATATTTATAAACAGACAAGTATAGATAGATAGATAGATAGATAGATAGATAGATAGATAGATAGATAGATACTGAAGAGACTGATAGATAGATAGATAGATAGATAGATAGATAGATAGATAGACATACAAATATGCATATGAATAGACTTGATAGACAGATAGATGCTAGGTAACAAGATATATTTATAAACAGACAAGTAGATAGATAGATAGACAGATACATACATACATACATACATACGTAAAGAAAAGCAAACAAGTAAGATAAGTAATTTGACTCGCATACCTTTGTCGCAATGCACTGTTTTGGAGCACTCAACAATGACAAATCTGACTGTCAACTGCTTGTGAGACAACAAGGCTCGCAACAGTACGGCGATAAGTAATGTGGAGAGATAAGTAGGTAGATAAGTACACATGCAGTGGTTCGCAGAGTACTTCGAGGGTTTTTTAAGGGGTGAGAGACACCCCAGCTAGCTTACCCATCGTCCTCCTTTTCCACACTGAGGAGGGCAGGTGCGTAGAAAAGTGGATAACAATAAAGCATTATCTTTTCTTGAGAGGGTATTAAAAAGACGAACATATTAGCAAATAAGATTATCCACTTCAGCTTTCGACACGACAAAAATGCCTATCTATCTATCTATCTATCTATCTATCTATCTATCTATCTATCTATCTATCTATCTACACCTCCGTTTCAAATGGAAGGGGTGATTGAATTTTTTAAAATTTCCAGCCTTGTTTTAGAATGCTCGATGCCGAAATTGAGAGGTGGGTGCAAATTTTTAGAATATTTTATAAAAGTGGTCTTTGGAATAAGGATTTCTAAAAAGAAAACAAAACAATAATCGTTCCTGCCAGCTTGCAGCTGAAACGTTTCAATACGTTCATATCTATCTATCTAATCCTTTCTATCTATCTATCTATCTATCTATCTATCTCCGTCTAATCCTTTCTATCTCAGTATACTCCTTTCTATCTATCTCAGTCTACTCTTTTTTATCTATCTATCTATCTATCTATCTATCTATCTATCTATCTATCTATCTATCTGTCTATATAAGTCTACTCATATCTATATATCTATCCACTCTCTATTTCATTTTCCAATCTTTTATTTCTGTTTATATTCACTTTCATGTTTTATTATGCAAGTCCATGCTTTGACAATAAAGTTACTATTGACTAACTGATGCTGGCAATATTTCCAGGAGACACTTCTATTTGTAAGAGCAATATTTATCATGTGATTGTCAAAGCATAATATCCTTCTTATTTGAAAAAATACCGATAATACCTTTTTAGGAGGTTTCAGGTTTTATGAAGCAAAGTGAAGCATATTTTTATTTTGAAATTAATCCAAATCATATCGCCAACAGAAAGATATTATTTGATAAACGTAATTAGCCTATAGACGCGAATAAATTGTTATTTTTATCATTTTACGTAATAATATTGGCCGTTTGACATTCTATAACCTTCATAAGGCTTTGATTCATTAATTTTGTAAACTTTTTTCTGTTAAGTTTAACAAGATTTGCAACAGTTTTTATTGCTTCCTAGACAGCTTTATGGCTTGATTATTAACACTATTTACATTGTTTGGAGTTTTGCCCTCATTTTGATTGCCACATTCACAACTTTTCGGCTGTTGTACGCTCCTGCCTTCTTCAGGTGATATTTGTTTGAATTTTAAACCGAACCCAGAGTAGGCAATCTGCATGTTAGCGTTTCTGAAAATTGGTTCGATGACGCTGGTGTGGAGGTCCTTTCAATGTTTATTTCCTGAAATCGACTGACATATTTTCTACAAATTTTGACATAAATTTGTATGAATAAATAGATGCATAAGAGGTCTGATTAAAAAAAAAAAGAAGTATAGTAATTGGTGCTATAAAAAGAAAACTACGACATATATCAATTCGGCATTTAGTCCCCTTCAAAATAGTCCCATTCTGAAGCCACACACTTTATCCAGCGTTGTTTCCATTGATGGAAGCATTCCTGGAATTCTTTTTGGGGGATAGTAAGCAGTGCCTCATTGCATTCTCTTTGGATTTCTTCAACGTCTTGAAATCTAGTTTCTTTCAAGTGAGATTTGATTTTTGGAAACACAGAAAATCGTAAGAGACGAGATCTGGAGAATATGGTGGTTGTCGACCATGGGGAATGTTGTTCTTAGCCCAAAACTGCTGCACAAACCGATGGAATCCCTGTGGTGTGGTGAGACGACCACACTCTACACACTTTCCTTCCAAGTACTACTATAAATAATAGAAGTGAGCGAGAACGTTATACCTTAGTGGCTATTCGCAACAGATTTCAAGGTCAATCTGTGCCAAGCAGCTTCACTCTCCGTCGTTTAGTTCAAAACCTGAAAAATAAAGTTTATTACGAAAATGTTTCTCCCCTTCTTTTTATTTTTCATTTATTTATAAAAAAGCTACATATATGCATAAATAACTTACGATGTTAAATTTGAAAAAAAATATATATCGTAATTTCTCGAAAATAATACGCATTTTTTTTTTACTGTAAATTACAGGTGATTGTAGGAGTGCGTATTATATAGGTTTAAACAAAAATATTTTTTCGTTACTGATTTATAATAATAAATACGTACTTGTTGTTCTAAAATAAGAAAGATATTATAACAATTTTTATTTTAAATCCAACAATAATAATTGTAACATTTTTGTGAATAATTTATGTGTATCTGTAACCGCAATTTTTATTTGGCGAAAAAAATAAAAAAAATCTATAAAAAGGCCCGATTTCGAAAAAAAAAAGAAGTGGATATCAAGTTAACAGTTTATTGAAATTTTAATTTTCATCATCATAATAATAATCACCACTTTGTATTATAGAATCAATATCTAAATTGACATTAAACAAATTATCATTCACAATATTATCTTGTACAAGTTCTTTTGCCTTCATCCTTATTTCCACAGTACTTTCGGAACATCCACTTGATCGTCTTTCTTTCACAAATTCAACTAAACTTTCTTCCATATCTGGATATTGAGCTTTTCTTCCTCTGCCTATAGTTTTGGCACTTGATTTACACTTTTTTTTCATTTCATTTTTATTCTTTCTCCATCAACGTATGTTAGCCTCATTCAACTCATATTCTCGAGCTGCAGTTCTGTTTTCTATTCTTTCTGCTAATTTTATTACTTTTTGTTTAAAATTTCCACTATAACTCGCACGTTTTGACAACCTTTTGGCGGTAAAATAAAAATATTATATTTATCAAGAAAACAGCGATGGTAATTTTTAACATTTTAGCCGCTTAGTTTCGATTTTATTCTTAATGTCAAGGTCGACAGAATGTCTTCGTAATTATATTTTTGATTTTTTTTTTGACAACATTTATAGATGCGTATTATACATAGGGATGGATATATTTATTAATTTTTTGAATCGTTTGTTGGGATGCGTATTATTTATGGGTGCGTATTATTTTCAAGAAATTACGGTAATCGTTGTCTCGTTAGAAGCAAATCGTACTTACTCAGGGATCCGCACCAGACGGCAGGCATACCATTCCATCCAAATTATGCATCAGCATTTCTCTACTTGCTCAGTGTGCATCACAGATTGTCCTTCTCTCGTCATACTGTAAAAGTCAACGTCTAACGAACAATTTTTACCTTTCTTTCAAGTAAAATGTGCAATATATCATGAAGCCACTCCGTGAAATAACGTACTTATCGAATGGAAAGCTGTACACCTATAGAAAAAAAGAATTACGTACTGTTACGAGGCGCCATTTTGTCCTACTTCTTTACGCTTATAGTATAAAATACAAAATCTACCTTAAAGTGATGGCTTAAATCTGTAGCTACTAGATGCCCTTTTTAACATACGAAAAACTCCCATTCATCAAGCCCTTTAGATTTCGTAATAATAAAATGGACCTTTCTAGAAGTCTCTAGAAACTTCTACTGGGTTCTAGAGGGTTAAATATATATATATATATATATATATATATATATATATATATAAAACAGAGGTTCGTATCAACTAGCCAGTTGCTTCCTGAACCCACGGCCACGACTATTGAGATTGACTCCAGTTCTTTAGAATCAAGAACAAATCTTCGACCGAAAGAATCTAAATTCCTACAGTCCTCGAAAAGAAAAGACTATCGGTAAATACTTCACCCATTTTCTTTGATATTATTGACCAAACTCTTTTATTTTATATATATTACTGTAATTATTGAACAATATAGTTCATGCCATATTCACGGAAAATCTACCAGTAAAAAAGAATTCTCTTATTGCTATATTTGTACAAAAACGCACAACCTTAAAATTTAAATTCAAACTCAGCGTTGCGACCGGACGTTCCAAAAGAATAACACATTTCTCATAGCATTTTTTCGGATTACATCTCTATTTTCGTTGTACTCTTATTACTGAGAAGTAAAAACAAGAACAAAATCTACTTCCATACCTGAGGATGTCTGTAGGAACAGGCGAAAGCTTGTAAAAAATTAAAAAGACCTTATGCAACTGGAATTTATAAACAGGGTTCATATCATTCATATACAGGTTCGGGGTTGATGCAGCTTATTTATATTGTTTGCGACGATGTATTCTCGCCATTTAAATCATTAACCTCTATATTTGTTTTTTGTATGAATGATTCATGAATTTGTAATATATATATATATATATATATATATATATGTGTGTGTGTGTGTGTGTGTGTGTGTGTGTGTGTGTGTGGATATCAAACTATTTTTAAGAAGAAAATAATATAATTCTTTGACTAGTGACGAATTCCCATCGGTCGCCTTAATCTTAACTACAGTGGATTTCCTCTTCACTCCCTTGTATAGTTACGCGTTAAGCCAACTACTTTCTGGACTTTCGCACGCGTAGTAACTTGTTAGCATTTCCTAACTTATATTGTTTAAACCTCAGCCCTATTGTTCAAAAATATATTGTATTATATGTAAAATAAAATCCGCATTTCATTATTAGATGTAATCTCTTTTCTTCAACCTTAATTTCTACAAATCTGGTACTTCTTATTTTGTGTTGCACCAGCCGTAACAGTACCCGCATACATACCATATTAAAACACCCCGTAAAGTTGTTTGACCAATCAGGAAAAAAATAAATAAATAAATAAAAATAAAACCTTATTTTTCGCGAGCCGAATTTCGGGAAAGATTTCTTATAAAACTCCACAGATCACGACTTTCATGAATAGAGATACAACTGTCTCAAAGTCAAATAGAAAACATAGTCACATGACTTTGCCGCCCCCAGCGCGTACTGCAACATGTGTCGGCGGCTTCAAACGAATCAGCTACAACATCAGCAGCATGGCTGACCAGTCGGCGACTTCAAACGAATCAACTCCAACAACAACAAAGACGGTCAGTGAATCATCGCTA